GTAGCAAGAGACAGCTGACGGTATCATTGTCAACCACTGAAGCAGAGTATAGAGCAGCAGCAATGGCAGCTCAAGAGAATGCATGGTTAATACAGTTGATGAGTGATCTACATCAACCAGTAGATTATCCAGTACCATTGTACTGTGATAACCAATCGGCAATTCGCTTGGCGGAAATCCAGTCTTTCATGCAAGAACTAAGCATATGGAGGTACATTACCACTTTATCAGAGAAAAGGTTCTGCAAGAAGAGATTGAGATGAGACAGGTCAAGACAAATGATCAAGTTGCGGACTTGTTCACAAAAAGTTTGAGTACAGGCAAGCTCGAAATTTTTCGCTGTTTACTCAGCAAAGTGCAAAGAATGAGAGCTGACATTAAGGGGGAGTGTTGAGAATCAATGTCATGTTGTAGGTGAAGTAAGTGTGTGAGGTTGGTAAAGTAAGTGGAGGTTGTAGGTGAAGTAGGTGGATGTTGTAGGTGAAGTAAGTGTGTGGTGTAGCTTTCATTTGGTTTGCTATAAATACCCAAGTCCCCAAGCATTGTATATCATCCAAGGAAAAACTAAGCCTAGAGCTAAATAAGAAAAGCTTTGCTAATTAGTTTGTTTTGTGAGTTTTCTTTAAGAGTGTGCTCTATTTTCTTCTTCTTGGGATCATTAGAGTTATCTTGGATACTCTTCTTATTCAACATACGCTACCATGATAGTGCAGACGCTTAGAAATTCACCAAATGTAAACTTCCTATCACATTGTGATTATCTGAACCATGTCTAGTTCTTTGTAATTACGATTCTGATACTAGCTATTTCGGTTTTCTTTTTTAACTACAGGATTCATCGATTATAAAACAGCAGTTGCTTAATGATTTTCTGCCTGATGATGCATGTCCACTGGGAGCTCCGTTGAACATGGAAACACCCAGAGAAATCGACCAAGTTGGCGTACAAGATGATGGATAACCTGATAAGGTAATTTACTCGAACGACTTTTTTTTTTTTATAATATCCAAACAATTAAGTGTACAAAATGACTTTATTGTGCAGGCGGAGCCCCCATTATTCACAATTGGGGATGATGCACCCAATGCATCTGAAAATCAAACCGACCCTGGCACAAAAGTGGCAGTGGAAAGTTTAAGCATAATAAGCGTTGATCAGCTTTTAGACTCGGTAAGTGAGGCTGCTCACACACTGTTGCAGGTTTGTGGCCTTTGTAGAAATCAGACAGAAAATACGTAAATCAATGGACATTACATCAAGTTGAACATTGTGCTAAGTAAGAGAGTGATTCATGTGCAGTTTTTGGAGACAACACATCAAGTTGGAAGATTATCAGTCTCAGCTGCTACAAATATGCCGTACATGGAAATGGCTGGCCAGTGTGAGGCTATTCAAATGGGGAAGCAGTAGAAGTTGTCAACGTTTATAGTTTCCCAGCAGAGACAAGAAAGTTTGATTACATTTTCTAATGATTGCAACCAGGAAAAGGAAGCTCTATATGTTGTTCCGCTGGGCACTCCTACGGTATTTTCTTTAGCATACACTATATGGGAAAGTTATAAATTCAATCCTTTTATTTTGCATTGCATGCATACTGTGTTTTTAGCATATTCTGAGTTTCCGAAAACCATCTGGGACTGCAGAGTGGAAATCCATTCCTTGAATCAAGTGCTATTTCACTCAACCAATCTGTTGGCAATGGCTGTTCGATGCTTTGCGCAACCGAGTATCAGCCCTATCCACACTTTCAGCTACCGGCATCAAGCCCCTACGATAACTTTTTAAAGGCTGCAGGTTGTTGATCCGTGTAGAGAAAGTTCGATAGCCTTTGTAGCACGTAAGAAATTCAGTGTTAACAGCATTGGAGCGAGCGGCAGTTGTATCTACAACAAGTTTGTGTTGCTCCCGATTCAGCCAGCCTTGTTTTCTCTTCATATCTCTACTGACCGACTGCATTCATTTATTCATCAATGGTTGATAGGGAGGTTCATTTTATGCATCTTTTGGTCTCTCCCTCGCTTTACATGTTTGATATTGCAAAGTAAGAGTTTTGCTCATCCACACATTTTTTTTCTTCCCAACCGTTCACTTGTGAAAAAGAAAACGTGCGGGAGATAATTTTCATATGTAGTATAAAGATGTGAAATAGGTAAATTTCATTTTCGTACCTTCAATGTGAACTGAAAGCATGTTAATTTGTGTATAAAAATTACTTAATTTTGTGTAAAAGAGGAAAGACTTTACCAAGATTCAGTTTTGATGCAAAAGATCAGGCTTTCACTGCAACTGCAAAGCATACTAAGAATTTGAGTAAGAAGAAATACACAAGCTTTGAGGACAACTTTGTCTGAGCCACCTACATGATACCACCAAAACTAAAGGCTTTACTCTAATCAGGATCTTTACCAAGGATGACTCAAACAAGGATATTTGCTCAACAAGAGAAGTTTATACAAAGAAATGATTTCCATTCAAATCTGCCTACTTACATAGAATACACACATATTTATAGGCTTAGGAGGAACCCTCCCGAACCTCACCTAAAACTATTTGGATAAAAGAGGCATCATCCTTTTTATCCCATACATAAGATGAGGAGAGATCTTCTCTACGTCACAATTAATAATGCTTGACTTAACACTCAAATTAGTCTAGATAAGATTCCTTACTTTATAACACATCAAATATTATTCTAGTGGGGCAACTTATTGTCCAACAACATAATTTTGGATACTGATCTTAGAACACTAAAATTGTAAGTTATTAGCTAATGGCAAAATGACATGCTCAAAAGCGTAAGGGTAAAAATAGTATAGAATGAGAAAGTGTGTTTTGACTAAGACTTTATTTCTGAGTATACTGATAATTTATAGTTTTAGTTGGAGCATTTTTCATGATAAAAAGAGTTGAGTAGGGATAGCTGCCTTCGTTCATGTCTAAATGTATCAAATAAATAGACCGTCGTCATGAATATGTCCAAATGTATCAAATAAAGGAGGGTGGATGGGCAAAGGCTATTTGGGCACAACATATTTTGTTGAACAAATAATATTATCTACACTAAGGGATGCGAGGGTGGGGAAATAGGCTTAGCCCAATAACCTAAGACCTCTCACTTAGAAGTGAAGAGTAATATCACTAGATTGTAATACTAAATGGCTGTGCACAGGAGATTTAAACTCGAAAGATTAATTAATTAAAGAAAGTGATATTCACACGTATATTTTTACCTTTCACATACTCTTATTAATTATTGGATATTGATACTTTAATTCATTTAATCCAGTGGTTGAAAATTAAGACATATGTGAGAGGTAAAAATGAATGTGTTATAGCACTACCTTAATGAATTAATTAATTTGTTTCTCTCTAGAATCTTCTTCGATCGTTGAAAACAAAACACAATACAGATTCTATTGGACTAAGATTCTCTCCTCTCCTCTTCTCGTCCCTTTCCATCCCCTTCCCTCATATTATCTTATTTTGTCTGTTTCTTGCTATAAAAAATTAAAATAAAATGTTGATGTGGCTTAACCGTAACCATTCAAATAAGAGAGGAGAGAAGGAGAGGGAAAAAAAGAGTGAAGAGAATCTGTTGACTCTACAAATTACAAAACCTACGTGGCGCGCAGGCCGAGTAACTAATAAGCTAACTACGTCATTCGGTTGAATGCGGGGCGTGCCAACTCGTCGGCCGAGCTCGGCCGAGGAGTAAAATTTGATGATGTCGCGTTGAGCGCGCTGTTGACTTCTTTATCTTGCGACTGCGGCCGAGGAAGGAACAAATCTCGGCCTTTGGATTCTCGAGCCTGAAGACAAGGCTGCTAGTTCTACGAAGTTCAATATCAAATTCGGCTCTCAAGGTGCCGAATGTAGTAACCTGGTAACACCTCACTTCGCCGAGAAGGCTAATGAGATGACCTCTGCCAATAAGGATTCGAAAATCCTTCTCGACCGAGACTTGGATAGATAACCAGTCGGCCTCGACGCAGTGCTATTTATCCAAACTGAAGGTGCTTCAGGAACGGCTGATTCTACGGCAACAGTGCTGTTTATCCAAACTGAAGATGTGTCGGCGGAAAAAAGAAAATAAAAAATCTCAAGATGTTTGAGAGGTTTTGCGCAGGGCAGTTGGGTGTTGAATTGGAGGTGCCTTTTACGTTGCACAACGCCTTGTATTTATATGGTTAATACTTGCTTGACACGGCTAGATAATTGTGTAGAGTTCAATTGGGATTCTGCCACCTTCTCCATATAATCTGCGATATCCAAAATCCCAAATGAGCTAATGTAGACCACGTGCATTTGTGGTAATGGCCCCATGGAACAATTCTGATATTTGATGGTATCTTACCCTGCATATCCTTCCCTCAATGCCACGTGCTCCTTCCTTATCTTTTGCATGGCACCAATTTAAACCAAAGATTTGTTTTGATGATGTTTGAGTGCCTCGCAAGCCTTGAATCTCTATGGTCTAACTTCCATGCACCAATGACATTCCAATTTGTATGACTTCATCATTACCCCAAATTACGCATCCTGACTTTTCAAACCCTATTTACCATGTTGCTCCAATCTAATAACAGGAATCCCAAGTCCACTTGAATTGTACTTGTTCGAACATATAATGCCAAAATGATTCAAATTAAAAGATAATTATCATGATAAAAACCATAATATTATCCTTTAATTGTAACAAATATATCTTCATTTTCATCCAACGGTTAAGAGCTATGCTCATTCAACGGTCTAGATTACTCCGGCCTATAGTGTAAAATCGGGTCCAAACAGAATCATACTCTGATTGTATTACTCTCTTCTTGTCTATATCTCAACACACAAGTAAGTCTTGCTTTTTCCTTTGGGGTGTGATATCCACACATTTATTTTTACTTTTTATACGCCTTTTCAATTTTCAACCGTCGGATTGGATGAATTAAGGAAGATCAAATAACAGAAATCATCAAGTGTTGTAAAAAGGGGTGAGAAGTAAATGACACACCCCTTTCCTTTTCTACTTTCCGTTTTCTGTTTGTTTCCCGAGAAAATTCCAAAGAAAACGAAACCCTTCCTAATTTTTGTTTTGGAATTCGAATGCAATTGCATTAAATTTTGCGTCTTTGATTTGGGTATTTGTAGAATTTTGAGAAGACCCATTGGATTATAGAAGCTTGAAGTAATGGAGGATGTTCGGGAGCAGGCTGAGCAGGAAAGTCAACTACTCGGTATGTTTTTTCTTATTTTTGGCTTTAATTTCCGGTTCAAGTATTAAGTCAAATCTTAGACTCGTAGTAGGTTTTCAGCTTCAATTAAATGTAAAATTAACCTGATAAGCGGGGGTTCGAGTGATTTAGTTGGACTAAATGAATACATGGAGATGTTTTCTTCAAGAACAATTCTTCTATCGGTCATTATTGAGCCAGAAAGATTTCGGAAATAATTTGTAGGTAGACATTTAACAACTGCTTCCAGTACACTGATTCATCGTTCCTCCATGCTTTTATGTTGAGTAACTCAGAAATCCTGTCTTCCAAAACTCATGTGGTACCGTATAATGTGCAGGGGAAAGGGGAAGATTGTCGTTCCCCTCTCCGTATGAGTGAGTTAGATTTCCAAATAATCATATATTTAACAACTACTACTCATCTTTTCATCTTGTTTGTAGGTCAAGATGGTGAAAATGAAACGGTAACTGAAGATGGTACCTTCGTTCGGGGGGAACCTTCAGAAGATGCTAATGTCCCCCCAAAAGTTGATTCTAAGGTGGAAATCCTTCACGAGAAAGTCACAAAGCAAATCATTAAGGAAGGTCATGGTCAAATACCATCCAAGTATTCAACATGCTTCTGTAAGTGTCAAGTGGTTTCCTTTTTGGTAGTGCTGTAAGTGTACATTAGTTGAAAATCTAAGAATTGTTATGTGCGCATGTGTTTGTTAGTATGGGATGGGAGTAAGACATGAATGAGCTTGTGGCTTGCAAACAGACACACAACATCCACGTTCACAAAGTTGTGTATGTATATAGGAGAATTAAATGTGCATGCACTAAAGTTTATAAAAGGGATGCCTAAGATACATTTAGAAATGTCTTGCAGTGAATTTTTACTCTGGTTTTTTCAATCACTGAGTGATTGGCATATGTGTAATAGTACCCTACAGGGCATGGACTGAGAGCACGGGACACAAGTGTGAAGACACATTGGATGAACAACGACCACTTGAAATTATTTTAGGAAAAGGGATTAGCCTTGCCGAGTAGTCTGTTACTTTTTATATATACAAAGTATATGAAAACGAGTTCTGGCATGTTCCTTGTTCAGTCTGCAATTAGTTTGTGATTTCTTTGTTGCTTTTATTCTCTGTAATTCGTAATTACTTTTCATTCCAGATTATTTGGGTCCATAAGCATTTAAGCATTATCTAGGGATATTCAATGGAATGGACTTCTTCTTAGTAGTGTATTTTTGTTACTGCAACATAGAAAAAAGAAATGACTGGCTTGGCTGTTGGGGTGTCCAGCATGAAGTCTGGAGAGCATGCCCTATTACATGTAGGCTGGGAGTTGGGGTATGGGAAAGAAGGGAGCTTTTCTTTTCCGAATGTTCCACCATTGGCAGATATATCATATGAAGTTGAGCTTATTGGATTTGATGAAACCAAAGAAGTAAGTTGCTCACTTGCTCTCAAATGTCTTCCCAAGTAGTTACCAATTGAAGTTTCAGAATCTCTTTTCCAGGGATTTGCTTTGGTAATATAGTAACATGTATATTTGTGGGTTTTTCCTTTCATAGGGGAAAGCTCGTAGTGACATGACTGTGGAGGAAAGGATTGGAGCAGCAGATAGAAGAAAGATGGATGGAAATGCTTTACTTAAAGAGGAAAAACTAGAGGAGGCAATGCAACGGTATGAAATGGTTACGCGCTTGTAATGCTTACATATTTTATTTATGGCTGATGAGCTTTTGAGTTGTCAGTCTCTTTTTTGTATTTCCCTTCTGACAAGATTCTAGTGTGTTTTCTCAGGCTATAGCGTATATGGGTGACAACTTCATGTTCCAGTTGTTTGGGAAGTGCAGGGACATGGCTTTGGCTGTTAAAAATCCATGCCACCTTAACATGGCAGCGTCTTTTATAAAGCGCAAGCGTTATCAAGAAGCCGTTGGACAATGCAGTATTGTAAGTGTAATGCTATCACAAGAAAGTCATCTAATTTTGTGTGTTCAGCGATTGTGCTATTCATCATTAGACACTAGAAAGTTGGGTTTGTAGGTTCATTTGTGAGCATTACTGCATCCCAAAAGTTTCAATATTCATTCACTTTAACCTGCCATTTTGGATTGCCGTAGAAAATGAAAATGTTCTTACTATGGACCCATAAAAATTTCTAGGTTCACTGGCACCATTCTTCAGTTAATAATCGAATTTTAGGTCCTATGCGACTCTTATGATCTCTTTGGTGTGTTACTGTCCATGCTTCATCATGTTGTTCAAACTAAATGGCTGTTCGAACTAAAAATTGTCAATGCAACTAACGTCTATTAACCGATTTTTCTCTTCGCTTGGATTTGGCAGATATTTGCCTTTTCATGAATACCCTTAAATTGTCAATGCAACTGTGTTAACTGTAATTGGACGAATGAATGCTCGCAGGTACTGACAGAGGATGAAAACAACGTCCAAGTGCTATTTAGGCGAGGAAAAGCCAGAGCAGAGCTTGGGCAGACAGATGCTGCACGGGAAGACTCTCTAAAGGCAAGCAAATTTGCACCTCAAGACAAAGCTATTGCAAGAGAGTTGTCAGCTTGCTGAACACGACACCCTTGTTTATCAGAAACAAAAAGAAATCTACAAGGGAATTTTCGGACCAACCCCATAACCTAAACCCAAACGGGATAATTGGTTGATCATCTTTTGGCACTGGCTGTTGTCATCGTTCTATCGTCTCTTCAGGCGCGAAAGGCATAAAGCTGAGTAGTCAAATATCTTAAGCTCTTGAATTGCATGATAAATGAGGAAATTCGTCTGTTGAACTTGCTAATAAACAAGACTATGAAATGTGACCCTGCAGGTTCACTCATTTACGTCTCGGGAGAGAGTTTAGATGCCAATAGTTTTACCCAGAAACGAAGATACGGTGGTCAAATTAAAGTATTGAACTGTTCTAAACCGTTAACAAGAGTTTTTATCTCATTTTCACTTTGTTTACTGAGATTTTGGTTGTGAATTTTCCGTCACCACCATAATCTTTTAGATAGTGTATAAAGTGGGTCAATTTGTTTCCTTGAAGTGCTTCTTGCTTCTTTAGTTTATCTTTGGCCGGAGAATATTGTTTCTTTCTTAACGAATTAGGGGTCTATGTGGATGGAGTGATTTAAACATAAGGATTTGAATTTGTACTACATTATTGATTTAATTAAGAAAAACTATTAAACTAGTAGTGAGCTCGGGGAATTACTTTAGTCTAAAGAAGCTGGCAAAATTGCACTGTAGAAATGAACAGTGTTTTGTAAGACATTTCAGTTTATTTACAAGATTACCACTGGCCCTCTCTGCCGTTAGTCTTGATGCATACGTGTTGATGATCGTGGGAAGGAAGAACGATGGTAAAGGCGGTCTTTTTCGTTTCCTTCTCAAACCCTGCTTGCCTCTTCCGTCTCACAGACCCGACGAGAACGACACAGACGGTCTCGCGTCCATCCTATCCTCCTCTCACCGCCGTCTACCTTCCCTCGCCTATGTCGTCTTACTCCATCGTTTGCGTCATGGAGGCCCATGCGTGGTTTTTTGGGTGGGGATTTCAGATTTCAAGGGGGAGAGAGGCTGTGCTTCGTTTCGATCTGGTCTTGGTGAGTATCGTGATCCCAACTCTTTGTTATTATTAGTTCAATTTCTCTGTTCGAGTCACTGCAGAGTTTTCTGTCACTCAAAAGCAGGAGTCGCTTCGGCTCTTCATTGTTCAGCAGCTGCACCAGAAACGATTTGATTTGATTACGAGTCTTAATCTGTTTGAATAATTATATATATTGTTTGGCTGTCTGCTATACAAATTACCACAAAACAAGAAAGATTTAGTCACAAGTAAATAAAACTATAATTCTCTCTTAATTAATGCTGCAAAATCTGTGTTGGGTCAATAATTGCAAGCTATTTTTTCCGAGAAACAATCAGATTATTGGATCTAAGTTGCTAATTGTTTTAATTTTGAGGCTTCAATAAAATCAGCACCCACAACTGGAGGAGTCAAGAAGCCTGACCGCTACCGACCTGGAATCGTCGCTCTTCGGTAAGTTTTCAACACAATATAGTTCAAATCCTCTGAATCATGTTCTTGAATTTTACAATTATGTATCGTGTTCTTTGCATTTCGTTATCCGAACTCTATTCGTTGAATTTGGTTACCTAAATCGTGCCTAATATTTCATGTGGCCAGTGGCTTTGTTGTATGGCTGGCTGATGTGATTTGGGAGTGTTTTTAGTTAATGGGAGACAGGGGACAAAGGCGTGGGGCAGCGAAGTCACGTGGGATTAGGAATTTAGGATAGTAGAGTATTTGCTAATTTATAGGATTAGAAGTCTTCCTTTAGTTTTGTCTTGGTGTGATGAAAAAGAAAAAGGGTGAGTAATTTTAACTCCTGTTTAAGGTAATAACATGTGAATTGTTCTCAGGTATATTGGAACTAAATTTTTCATGATGCTCTTTCCTTTTCTTCTCAGTGAAAAAACATACTAAAGCAACAACATTATGGTGGTGGGAATAAGCGTTCTCAGGTATGTATGGATGTGTGATATGAATTAGCTGACTGGTGTTGAAACATCAGTCAATAAAAAACAAATAGGATCTCAAATATTATACATTAATCCATACATAATGTTTTTGTTATCCGCCCTGCATCAAGATGAGAAAGGCCTTCTTTATTTCGGGCTCAATTATTAATTGAAAACTCATTCATATTTTTTCATAGAAATTCCGTCATTATGCACTGCTGTTTAATTGCTCTTTTTGGGTTTTCTAGCCAAAAAGTAGGTCAGTGTATATTTATTTAGCTCCCCTGATCTTCTTTTTTAATTTATTTTTTGTTTGTTTTGTTGAGTGATGCAGTTTGATCGAATCAGGTTGAATTGAATAATCCTTGAAGTGACAAGAAGGAGCTGATTGAGCAAGTAATAATTCTTAATTACTTACAAGTTTTCATTTTAATTTATGATTTGATTGGCCCTCATAGAAATTTCGAGCTCCATAATTGTTGGACCATTGATGTGTTATGAGTATTGATTAGTGTAGTTGTGTAAATATAGTGTATGGGTGTTAAGTAATTCAGATATTATAGATGATCTCATAAGGGAAGGGGTATCCCCTTCTTCTTTTTTCTCTTGAACTCTCTCTATCACAAAACTAAAACATGGCCGCCAGTTTTCTTATCCTTTAATCGCCGATCTCCTCAGGTTTGCCTCAAGCCGGTGAAGGAATCAGGGTAACAGAGCCCAGACTATAAGAGGTATTTCACATCCCTTAATTTTTATTTTATTTTATTAATTTTAACCAGATCTGAGAATTTCTAAGTCATGGATCTATGAATAGTGTGTGTTGAGTCTCTGAGCATCTCTATTTTTTTTTTTTTTTTTCATCAAATGGTCTCTGTAGTGTCTCTGTGTGTTTGTGCATCCATGTATGAATATGATCTCTGCAAGCTCATTATTGTCCTAGGAAACCACCTAAATTATTGATACCTTGCTTTCTACATACAATGTTATCAAGTTCTATTTTCTAGATTTCTGATTTTGGGGGGGGAGGGAGTGCTAATATAGTAATTTTCAGGTATTTTGTGTCTTTTGGGTAACTTTGTGATATGCAGTTGATTTTAGGAATTGATTTATGGTGGAATGCACTGACATAAGTTATTGTTTTTGTTAATGCAGATGACGGAAATTGACCCGAGTTCAAACTGAAACAATATGATTATTTTGGTTATGGTGAGAACTCAGAACCCTTTCTTAATCTTTCCTGTTTTTGGAATTGAGAAATTGGGTTAATTTTATGATGATTCACCGAGAGTTTGTTAATCGCTTTAATGCATATGAGATAGGGTTTCTGCTTTGTAGGATCTATTTATGGTCTTTAGAAATTGCTTGATTTGGTATTGTCAAATGGTATATGAATTTCCATGTTCACTTTGTCAGTATGTTGTTGTAGTAGTTTAATTGGATGCGATATAAATTGAGGTGTTAACATGAAATTGGACACAGGTAGTTTTCCTTGATTTCACCGGATAAAGTTGTAGTTTGATTTAGGCTATAAATGATAACCAAATTAAGTTGAATGATTTGTCACAATCAGAGACGGCTGATGGCATTTTGAACTGCTTAGATACAACTGAAGTGGAGAAGGATAGCTCAGTGGCTTCCTAAGGTGCAATGCTACTTCAGAATGCTTTAGTTCAGAAGCCGGCAGAATCAACTGACAATCTTGGGCCAAGAAAGAAATCATTATCTGATATTGGGAACCTACTGGTATGCTTCATTATCCTTTTTGAACCCTGCTTTATTTTTCTTAAAGAACTAAAATGTTTTATAGTGAGTACTTTGTTCTCTGCTCTATTAATTTTCTTACCCTTATATGGGACTGTTTGCGCTTTAGAAGTATTTTTTTAAGGTACTTATGACTCCTAATTGCCATTTTGCATTCAAAATATACTCTTATTGCTTGCTGGGGTTTACCCCTTGGAGCATTTCATTTTGTTTCTCCTTACTCTCTGACTAAAAAATTTTAAACCCTATATAGGTGAATGCAGACACTGCAAAACCTGCCTTAAAGAACTGTAGATGCTGAAGACAAAAAAGAAGCAAAGGATACATTGCAAGCATAAGGTTGAGATATGGAAGAGAACATTATTCTTCATTTGCCTACGCTTTTTACTACAAATTTAATTTAAATGCTTGAAACTTACGGTGTCATATCATAATTCAATACAAATATATTTGGATTATTGGATAAGCATCGGCCAATTGGAAGGTTATTGACTTTTCTTATAAAGAAATCAAAGTCATCTTCTCATTTTTGACGTTGAAGATTTGGTTGCATTTTAATATTTATAAGCCAAGATGAAAGAAAAAGATTAGGCTAATTGTTTGAGCAGTGACCTATTGGAAATTATATGATAATTTAGATGTCCTCAAGGTTAACGTGCCAAGTTGTTATGCTGGCACTATTCTGTTTTAGTATTTGTTGGATTAGAATGTACTCATTGTTTTAAGTGAGTATTATTTTTGAACTCTTATGGAGCTTCTTTGGCAGGTAAGTTAAGTTGCATATCCTTTTTTTCGTTAACGGAATTCATTATCTTGCTATATTGGCAATTAGCAGTGTGTGCCAATTGGTAAACTGTACGAATACATGTGTGGAAGTTTGAATTGTACAGATGAAAGTGAATTTTAACAACTCTAACGATTGAATTTGTAACACAGTTTAGCAATTTTTTTCAAAAGCTAACTATTTCTGCCAAATACTCAAGTATTATGTATTCTACTTTTCTACTTTCCTTTTTCTGTGTTTTCCCCATGTAGTAGGCTGATTACATGAAACAATGAGTATAATACTGATGATGCTATATGATCTACAAATGAATGGTTTCTTATAGCATGCATATCCATATATAGCAAGCAAAGTTTCACTTAATTGGTTATTATATTTGATTTGAGTTAAACTTGAATTTCTGGATTTTGACTTTTAGTTTGCTTCTCTGTTGTAGAGTTGGCTTCATTTCATTCCAGTGACTCTTTAAATAGGTCCAAGAACTCACTAAATAGGTAATTGTCTTATATCTTCTTCCCTCTTTGTGTTTATATTTATTTTTCCTGAGTTGTGTTCGAATATGACAAACAAGAACTACAAGGGCAGCTAAGAATATCCAGCAATCCATTACCGGTTGAACAATTAATTGGCCATATATCTTAGTACAGTTAGGTCAGGTTTTTGGGGATGGTTGTCTCTCTATATATTTGTTTCATTTTCTCTCATTTTGGGTATTCTTCTCTGTTCTGTGTATTTATTCTTTGTTTTAAGGTCAGTTGCTTATTTTTATTTTATGCTTTTTTTTTGTGGGTTTTCAATTCGTTAATTTGTGACTTTGTTTAGATTTTAATTTCTTCTTTCGTTTATGATTAAATCGATGTTGGGTTTTGGTTGTTGAAAATATGATTTTTTTCTGCTTAAGCTTCTTGGCATTTTTCTGGGATTTTTAGGCTTTCAGTTGCAAGGGTAACAGAACCCTAAAATCCCAGAAATCGGTATTGGTATTTGTATTAATGAATTTCCATTTCTCTCCCAAAACAATTTGTTAATTGAAAATTGTTTTCTTTCTGCAGAAGGTGGTAGTGAAATTGGATTTACATAACGACAGAGAAAATAAAAAGGCCTTGAAAGCAGTCTCCAGCCTTACAAGTATCAATTTTTTCTTTTAAGCATGTTGGTTTAATTTGGCTCCGTGAAAAACTTAGAATATAATAAAAATGTAAAAACAATTCTGAAATATTTTTCATTCATCAGGACCCACTAACTTCTTTGTATTGGTTGATAAGTTAATGAAAATTTGTCAAGTTTTATGTTTTTATGTATGCTTATTGTGTATAAAATGATCCGTGTCTGTAAAAATTGAACCTTTGGCTTATTTCTGTTCAAAAATTAAATTTTTCGATCTGCTTTTTCATATTGTGGGATGATTATTTTGTAAAAACTTGACCTTTGGCTCATACATGTGTAAACCTGAGGATTTGGAGTTGTTTTCTTTGTTGGTTATGAATTTTAGGTGACTAAATTGGTGGTTTCGTATATTAAGTTAAGTTACAAAGTAGATTTTTCCTTCGTTTTGGAAAAGTGTGTAGCGAAGTTCCTGTTCATTACAATATTATGATTTTGATAAGAGCTTTGTCTACATGTTTTTTGTTGAGTAATGGTTTACTTGGTTAGAAGAAACTCTTTGAGGTTATGTTAAAATCTATTTTGTGGATGAATCTAATTAGTTAAATTTGTTGGGTTTAAGTTATGTAAGAAATTTAATTGCAAAGTTGAGTCTTTTTTTTTTCTGAGTTATGTTAATAATTCTACCTAAATTTTTTGTAAATTCATGGTTGGGTTTAAGTTATATTATTAAACATGGATCATTAAAGTCTCAGTACAACTGGATGTTTGTTTACTTGCACAAATTTTTTGTGCATAGAAGTTTGTTTCTGCTTCTCAGGTTCTTTGTCCCCGTGTTTATTATTTGTGTTTTTCTCTATTCATTTGGGCTGTCTCAGTGATTGAAGATCTTAGTCAAGGTTCTTTCCCTATCATTTCAAGCTAGATTAGCTGATGAGTGATGCTCTTTGTACTGGTGCAGTATCATTGGTGCTCACTTTGTATTTTTCCAGTCACTATATATCTGCTCAACTCTTGGGGGTCAATTATTTGCCAATAGGAATGTTTAATTGCTTGATCAATGATTTCGATTCAATTTGAAGAAGAAATAGTACTTTTGTTCACTAGGGATTGAGACTCACATACGAGTAAGATGTCCCAATTGTTCATTGATTCTTAGGTGCTATGTCTTTTTAGTTGCTTTTTGTAGAAACTATTCATGCCTATTGCGCCTAATACATTCAAGTTCCGCGGCAACGCGCGGGCATATTTTCTCGTTGTTCCTATTACTTTAGTCTAAAGTAGGAGGGGAAATCGCACTATTCATATGAACAGTGTTTTGGACGACATTTCAGTTTATTTACAAGATTGCCACTCAAATGCTTTAACCAGTTTTCTCTTAATTTACAAAATTGCCACTCAGGCTTAAGGACCAATTTCCAGCCGTTGGCTGCATCTCAGCTTTTGACTCGGCAGGAGAGAGGAGGGGGACATCACGGCTGACAAATTGGAGAGAGACGATCGCTCCCATTTTTGACTCGGAGACAGCTGGGTGTGCCTGTGGCGAGCGGAGAGAGGGGGACAGAGCGACTACAGAGGAGGGAGACACAGAGCCTGACAGATTGGAGAGAGATGGGAGCTACGGGTTCGGACTGAGTGAGAGAGATATTTAGGTGGGTGCTCTGACAGGATCCATGGGATTTTCTCCCATTTTAGAGAGAGATGGACAGGGAGAGAGATACAGAGCGGAAAGCATAGGTGTGTATTCTTTGGGTCTTCCGAAAACGCTAGAAACCTAAAACATTCTCAGCTGCTCTGCAACGGGTTGGCGACTTCGATCATGCGTCCTACAGTCCGCATCGATCTCTTCCATCTCTGCTTCGTGATCCCTTCGATCCCTTCAAGAGGTAATTAAATCTCACTTCTTTCTCTGATTCGTACCTTATTCTCACTGTTTTTCTCGAATTGTTTGTTTTTCTTGGATATTGTTGTGTTTCGATCCCAAAATTTTCGTATTTGAAGGGATCTTATTTCTGGTATCTGATTTGTGGAGGGTTTTTTATACTTTTAAACGTGGGGTTGTGGGTGTTTTGTCCAGGGAGCAAAATTTATCTGGTTAGGCTTTTTCCCTTTGAAAATTAATAGATGTTCAAATTCGGAACCATGAATTATTAATTTATTTGTTGTTGCGGTAATTTAGGCACTTGAAAGCGAGGCAATCATGGTTAGATTTCATGTGGTTCATGAAAGACTCGGTCAGGCTTTAGAAGGTTTGCCTGATGAACTTTACCTATCAGATGAAGTTGAGGAACAGGCATATACATATATGTCCCTTTTATCCATTTTCAAGCTAATGCTTCCCATGTGTTATTTCATTTTTTTTCACACAGACAGATCTTTTTTCAATTCAAACTATTCTCGCTTTGCTGCACACGTTTGATATAAGTCCGTCTGGGTTTGACGAGATTCAAGGTACTTCTTATCAAATTGGTTGCACGGACCACTACGAGGTAGACATCCTCCAAACCCTCTACATAGCATTGAGGTAAATCCCACTTCTGCTCTGCTTCACAAATTATTTGTTATTTTCCGTAATATATTTTGATTTCTAGAACTGTAATTTCAGATTATTGCCCTTTCGACTCCTCTCCCAGTGCCTCAAGCCAATACCAAACCCAGCTCCAGTCCTCTACAAATCAAACCTCACAAAGTAAAGCACTCTGATTTCGTTTTTTATTTCTGGTCCAGTAACCTTAGGTAAAGCGAAGAACTGTAGAAATCCTCATGCATGTGGTTTGTTCTTTTGCAGAATCCGAGATTGGAGGTGATAAGTAGCTGGTTTTAGCTTCTGAGGCAGACACTTGAAGAAGGAGCAAAGATGAATGCATTAGTGGCAACGAACAGACACTTTAAGTTTGCTGCTTGGCTTTTGGGATTGGACTCCAAGCTTGAGAAAAGTTTACTTATACCATTTAGGGAAATCAAGGTAATTTTGCATATAATCTCCCTTATGTATATCCCTTACTCTTAATTATAGGTAGATTGTGTGTATTGGTTTTGCCCCCTTTTTTTCATTACCCTTTTATTTGTTGTTGTCCTCACCCTGTGAATCAAATGCTGAGTTTTTTTTTTTATCCTTCTAAAATACATTATGCATCTGGTTTTTGTTCATTCACATATGATGCACTGTTAATCGTTTCCTAACAAATCTGTTTATGTATGTTATTTTCTGTTTGGTTTGATTCACAGGGATAGCTTTTTTATGGTTGTTGTTGTTAGAAATAGATTTAATTTTTTATGCCTTTGAACAAACCCTGTGAATCAAATGCTCTGTTTTTTTATGCTTTTTTATGGTGGTTGTTGTTGTTGTTGGTTTGTTCAAAACAATATGTTGTTGTTAGAGATAGATTTAATTTTTTACGGTTGTTATTTTCTGAGGATCATTCATGGTCACCATTGAAAACAAGTGTGATTTGTTCTTCGCCATCATATTTCAAATCAAAATTGGTTCTGTCATTAATAATTCAAATGATCAGTTCTTTTATTTCAGAGCAATATTTTTTCTTTATCGGTTTATGTAGATTGGGTAGCGTTCGATAGTTGATGGATTGATGCCTAGAATCCTACTACTAATTTTGAGCTACAGTCTTGACCATTATTTACAGCAGAGATGTTGTTTTGAGATTAAGAGACCTTAGGAAACTATCATACAAGACTATAGTTACAATTGAATATCGTTTTGGAGTTCATAAGAGGAATGTGTTTATGGAAGTGAATATCTTCTTTTTCAATAAAAACAACAAATATATTGATGTTCAAAACCAGGGTTTAGGGTAGACTGTCGTTCAATGTATAGAATTTTACCCCATTTATTACTTTTTTAATATTTCAATCCTCTTTCAGAATACTAATCCGTAAACTTATTAAATTTATTCACCAGGTCATTTTTCTTTCAATCCCGAAGTTCGTATTTCAGGAACTTGGATGGTTGGACACAGCACTTCGCCCTTTGGCTTTTGAGGTATATTTATTTGCTGTTGTTATGGTGGAATGTGCAATCGTTATGTCTTAAGTTGAGCCTGGTTCTTTAATAAAAACAACCAAATGTATTGACTTTTGCATGTGTTTCGCGTGAGAACACCAAGTTGTGATGTGTTTGCATAATGGTTTGAATCTGTGCTTAGGTTGGTTTGAAACTCAGGTTGGGTTATGGTTTTGTTCAATTTTAATTTCATTCTCTGGTTTTAGTTTCTAATGAATGAAGAGAATCATTCTCAATGACTACTAGAATGGCATCCTGTATAGCTGCTATTGCATTGTCATGCAAAACTTCACGCTTATTGGTGGTTAATTGTAGGTATATGTGACCATTGTCTTTTCAAGTGGTAAAAAATCTTCTCTAACTTCTGAAAATTCATGGTCAGCATTGAAAAGAAGTGTGATTTGTTCTTGGCCATCATATTTCAAATCAAAATTGGTTATGTCATGAATAATTTAAATGATCAGTTCTTTTATTTCAGAGCAAGATTTTTTCTTTATCGGTTTATGTAGATCGCGTAACGTTCGATAGTTGATGGATTGATGCCTAGAATCCTACTACTAATTTTGGGCTACAGGCTTCACCATTATTTACAGCAGAGATGTTGTTTTGAGATTAAGAGAATTTCACTTCTGCATGAACTTTGTGCACTTTGAAATCTTTATTTTGGGCTCATTCTTATAACATCTTTGGAAATATTTCAAAACTTGACTCCCTTTTTCTTAGTCATGATTGCTATTATCTTTTTAACCAGGTCATGAGAAAAGTTAGGGTAAGCATGTACGAGTATCAGCTGGAAAGCATGTTTGTTCACCACATGAGGCGGATAATTGTTCAGATGTATATGGATTTGCTTTTGTTGGACTGTGCTGCTTTAAAGTTCTGGATTGGTGCTATCAGTGAAGATGCCCCCCCTGTGCTGCGTTGGGGACTTTCTTGATTCAAGTATTATTCACTTGGTTTTCTTATTTTCTTACAAGTTTTCATTTGAAAAAAAAAATTGCTTCATTCATATGCATTCTATGTTGCTACTGAGGTTTACAATTTTTTTACTTTTTGCTTTTTATTTTTCCTCCTCAGGTAATATTTTCCTTTTACTGCATATTGTATCTTCTGTTTGGGAGTGCCTCTGTTTTTTTAACTTGCTGAGAATGCCTCTGTCAAAATTTTAAGGGCCTTTCTTTGTTTCATCCAATCATTTTCTTCATTTTCTATGTCCAACTATGAAGCATTTTTTTTTATTGATATAAAGACCTTTTCTTTCTCCAATTATGCCTCTGTCAACTCTTTTTGATTTAAATGCACTCATTTAGCACTCACATTTTTCTGATAGAGTAGATGAAAAAGAGGGAAACATAGCACTCACATTTATCTGATAGAGTAGATGAAAAAGAGGGAAACATGGATTATATATGCGCCTTCACTTTGTTTTCTTATACGTCCTACTGTTATGAGATTAAATTTAACAGACATCCATACTAACAGCTTCGGTTTTCAAATTTGTAGAAACCAGCTGTGATCTGTTGCAAGAAAGACTCAGAAAAGAAAATACCTCTACATACCGAAGATTATGTCCAACTTTAGCATGCTTGAAACCGGTATGCTATGCCATCAGCTGCTTCTAATTTTGTAAACAGTTAATACTATCTTAAAATTGAAATGCCAATGATTCGAAGCTCATGACTGAATTATTATAGTTCTGTAAGATTTATTGAATACTTTTTTTCAAACTGTCTCTCCCAGCGGAATCACCGCCACCAACAGCTATGGCTGCGCAGTTCGTCGTCGTCCAGTATTCCTCCGAAATTCAACTCTCTCTTTACTCTCTCCGATTCAGTGCGTCTCTATTCTTCCAGGTACACCCATATCTATATCCCAAACGACTCTTTATATGTATCTATTTGTTAGAGAAGGCTTTTGCCCTTTGGGTTCAATTTTATCTGCTGTCTGCGTTGGATTTGATGTCTTCTCAGTCCTTATTTTTTTATCCAGCAATGGAGCTTGCATTATCACTTGAGAAATTGGCAAATGAAAGCTGCTTCACTTGCAGAGTGTAAAACATTCATTGTTATTGTATGATGTCTTCTTAATATAAGATGATTAGGTGTAGGTGATTATATTTTGTACCAGTAACATGGGTTGGTTGGTGTTATGAATTAACAATTATGTGATCGTGAGACAATTGTGCAAAGATAAAGTATTGGATTGGTGTTTGGTGTGGGTGCAAGTTGTGCCGGATTAGTGCTTTGGAGCATCATTTTTGAAATATCATATGGTCAAGTCAGAGAAAAATGTTAGTTGCTTGCTTATATACTGTAAGGATGCTTGGGCTGGTATATGTATTTCCACATATTGTATTGGCAGCCACAAACATTTGTGTTTTATCCGGCAGTGTGATGCCATTTTTATCCCAACAGGTTCTGGAAGTGATCTCTGTTTCTGTTATCAAATGTGTGTAGTTTCCTATTTTTTTTCTTCTTTTGGCTGGAAAGTAATGGAGAAGATAAAATTTGAAAGACACAGTTGTGGTAATCCTTGAGATAAAAGTAGATGATCCAAGTTTTACTACATATATTTCAAGGAATTAATGTTGGATGCAAAGAACAATGTTACAGTTTCACCATCATACGTCCGAATATTGTAAGTTTGGGACTTAACCTAAGGTGTAGTAGCAAGTACAAGTTATAAATGTTTTTTTTTTTTTTTTTTTTTTGGGGGGGGGAAGCAGTTGAAAAACTTGATATCACCTTTGCATTTGTATGTTATCAATGTAAAGATTATTCTTTTGATCAGTTAGATGTCAGTTTTATAATCAATGCTTTGGTTAACTATAAATCCACACACCGTTTCATAAGATTTGTTTTTCTGCCAACATGTTAATTTTGCTCAATGATAATGCCATAATTGGAATATTTTTTATAGAAATGATGTAATGGGTTAATCTGAAATTTCGAACTGAACTCTTACATGACTGCTATTGCACATGCTCCTCTTTTTTGGTTGTTGGGTTTTATTTTTATTTCATTTTTTGGTAAATGCAATTGTTGGTTTTGCAAAGAACTGACTTCTATCTTATTTTTAGTTCTCTATGCATGTAGTTTCACCTTTTTTGATCTCGAGTATCTGGTTGGCTTTATTTATCAGGCCCAGGGTTGTGATTCTGGATGCTGACATGATTAACCACACTTGGTGCGGAGAAATGCAAGCATGTTGCAGCGTATTATGGGTATATTGCTACTACTTTTTGTTCCCCCTTTCTGTAAATGATACTAGATTTTAACCAAGACCAGATTGTATCAAACAATAGCATTGTTTTCCAACTGGTATAAAACAAGATTCTTTTCCACCAAAAAAAGACTAGGTATCCATATTGTATCGTTATTTTCTTTATAGTATAAACCTGTTGAATCAACCATAGAATTGGTTTTGGAGTTTTCGTTTGATCAGAGAGTGTTTTTTTTGGGTGAAAGTTTTAATCGGTGAGACTCGGATGAAAATGGAAGAATTTCTCTAAGAATCAGACCCTATGCATTCTTACTGTTTAATGCTGAGAGTTTCTATTCTGTTATATTATAATGGAACCAATGCAGGTTTACTTCGACTACATGAGGAGCTTCAGAGTTGAATTTGATGAGTTTTTTGAGGAAGGAATGATATCAGAAATTGAAGTTGGATTAGGTCCGTGTGGAGAGCTATGGTATCCTTCTTATCCTGAACGGCATGGTTGGAAATATCCTGGTATTGGTGAATTCCAGGTACCTTAACAAATGGTGATCCCTCCTTTCATTAGTGGCATGCATAATAGCTAGGGACTGACGGTTATTTATAAATGTTTAAGTTAATAGCCCTTCATTCATCTGTGGTTATGACCTTAAGCCTGTAGCTCATTTGATTTTTTACTTCTATCTTAACTTTGAAGTAGTTCTCTGATTCAACCTGGTTTAGTCGATCCCCTTTTGTCGCGATGCTAATTTACGGTTCTTATCATGTAAATTGGTTGAATGTTGCTTCTGTTTCTTATGAAAACAGAGAATTTTTTGCAACCACGTCTTTTGTAATCAAGAACGTTCAATTTTGTCCTGTTAATTGTACAATGTCTTTTCATATCAGCTATGTTGAATGTATATAAAAACCAAGCTGCTTATCTTACCGACCCGTTTCACTCATCTATTCCTCTGTCCATTCATGGTTATGTTTAATTTATTCAGGTTAAATGTTTCTTATTCATGCAGTTTAGGCTGGTGCATTCAAGTCCCGCAGCAACGCGCGGGCATATTTTCTAGTTCTTATCTAAACTACTAGCTAACAAAATGCTTTTTGTCAACTAAAAGAGTGAAGACAATTGGGGTGAAATCAGACGAAGAGAGTTCAAACTTTTTTATTTTTATTTTAGTTTTGAGGATGAGGTGAATCCAACGAGCTTACCTTATTATTATAGAAATCGGAAACACCAGGGGAATAATCTATAAGGTTTGGTTCTCTAATGTTGATTATGAGTCTGGAACAGTAATGTAATTTCATACAAACTAAGTTTTGATATTTTTTTTCAAACCTCGCCTACATGTCATCAGAGCATTTCTAAATTTATTTATTTATTTTAAAAAAAAAACCCACTTATTCTCTTTTCCATATATTTTTCTTTTTAAAATTTTCATATTTACACGGGCATAATGCATGGGCTCCATTTAATTCTCTAAGAATAAAGCATATCATGTTTTAATAAGCGTATGAAATTGAAGAATCGAAATGATTTTAATTTATATTTTGTATAAATAAGCATGCCATATTATATGAAATCATAAAAATATTGGATTGAGGTTTGAAATTTCCCCATCCAAATGGACCCAAGTTATTCTTTAATTAAAGTGGAATGGGAATGAGTCTGTTAACCACTCAAGTTATTCTTTAATTAAAGTGGAATGGCATGTATAAAGACAAGTTATTCTGTTAACCACTCAAGTTATTCTCGTTTACAAACTTCTACTTTAAGTCACTTCACTTGCCTGTGTTTTTTCTTGTCCTGAATACAAGAAATGGCGGAAGGAGTTCTCTTCAACATTGCCGAAGGGATCATTGGAAGGCTTGGCTCCCTTGCTTTCCAAGAGATTGGACTGATTTGGGGTGTCCAAGATGAGTTCCGCAAGCTCCGGGATACAGTTGCCGGATTCCAAGCTGTTCTTCTTGACGCTGAGCAAAAGCAAGCCAATAATGAAGTCAAACACTGGCTCCAAAGCGTAGAAGACGCAGTTTATGAAGCCGATGACCTGCTGGATGAGTTTAATGCTGAAGCTCAGCGGAGACAAATGGTGCCTGGAAATACTAAGTTGTTAAAGAAGGTACGCCTCTTCTGCTCTAGCTCAAATCAACTTGCTTTTGGGCTAAAGATTGGTCATAAGATAAAAGGTATTAACGGGAAGCTTGGTGAGGTTGCATCTCATAGAAAGTCACATAAGCCTATTGATATCCACCTATTACGAATACACTAGGTCTGTCAATAACTCATAATTAACTGCAATAAGACCTCTATATTATTATTTGAATGTATCATATAACTTACCGTTACAAAACACGATTAACTTAATTAATATAATTCTATCGAAATAATGATTATGTCTACTCAAATTTTTACAGGTGCGTCTTTTCTTTTCTAGCTCTGTTTTTGGGCTAAAGATGGGTCATAAGATAAAAGATATTAACAAGAGGCTGAGTGAGGTTGCAAATCGTAGAACCTTTCACTTAGAAGTAAATCGTGAAGATACACCATTTGTAAAGAGAGAGAGGGTCACTCACTCATTTGTCCGTAAGGAAAATATTATAGGGAGAGATGAAGATAAAATGGCAATTATCGAACTTTTGTTGGATCCCATCTCATCTGAGAATGTGTCAACCATTTCCATAGTTGGACTTGGAGGATTAGGGAAAACTGCACTTGCGCAACTCATATTCAACGAGGAGGTGATTCAAAGTCATTTTGAGTTGAAAATATGGACATGTGTCTCTAATGTATTTGAGTTGGATATAGTTGTTAAGAAAATCCTTCAATCCGAGCATAATGGGATAGAGCAGTTGCAAAATGATCTTAGAAAAAAAGTAGATGGGAAGAAGTACCTACTTGTGTTGGATGACGTTTGGAATGAGGATCGAAAGAAGTGGCTTAGCTTGAAGAACTTGTTAATGGGTGGTGGAGAAGGTAGCAGAATACTAATAACCACTCGTAGTAAAACTGTTGCGACTATATCAGACACAGCTAAACCATACACCTTAAAGGGTTTGAATGAGGAGCAAAGTTGGTCTTTATTTAAGAAAATGGCTTATAAAGATGGAAAGGAGCCAGAGAATTCAACAATTAAGGCAGTTGGGAATGAGGTTACTGGAAAATGTCAAGGAGTTCCACTCGCTATAAGGATGATAGGTGGCATGTTGTTCGCCAAAGATGACGAAACATATTGGTTGAATTTCAAAGAAAAGAAACTTTCAAAAATAAATCAAGAAGAAAATGATATTTTGCCAACACTTAAATTGAGTTATGATGTGCTCCCATCACATTTGAAGCATTGTTTTGCTTATTGTAGCTTGTTCCCACCTGATTATGAGATCTCTGTACAGAGATTGATTATACTTTGGGTGGCCCAAGGGTTCATTAAGTCATCCGATGAAAACGAAGGTTTGGAGGATGTTGCGTATGAATATTATAAGGAGTTGTTGCAGAGATCATTTTTTCAAGAAGAAAAAACAAATGAGTTTGGTATAATAGAAAGTTGTAAAATTCACGATCTCATGAATGAACTTGCAATCTCTGTGTCAGGGGTTAGAAGCGCTGTAGTTGAGCCAAACCAAAAGAATTTTCATGAAAAGCTTTGTCACGTATCTTTCAAGTTTGATATTGATTTGTCGGAATGGGAAGTGCCAACGTCTTTGCTAAAAGCAAACAAGATACGAACTTTTCTTTTTCTTCAGCAACAACAATGGGGTGGTTACCAAAGTTCCTCACGTAATGCATTTGATACTACAATTGTTTCAAATTTTAAGTCATTACGGATGTTGACTCTCAATGAATTAGGAATTACAACATTACCTAATTGTCTTAGAAAAATGAAACATTTGAGATATCTTGATCTTCGTTGTAATCGTTACATGAAGAGACTTCCAGATTGGATAGTTGGACTTTCGAATTTGGAAACACTAGATCTCACTTCTTGTTCGAGTCTTGTGGAATTGCCTAGAGACATTAAAAAAATGATCAACTTAAGGCATCTCATCTTGGAATACTGTGATAGATTGAGTGGAATGCCACGTGGAATTGGTGAATTGAATGGTGTTCGTACATTGAGTAGATTTGTTTTGAGCGAAAGCAATTGTTTGGGGAGGGGAGGAAGTGCTGGTCTTGCTGAGCTGGGGACCCTTAAGGAGTTAAGGGGAGACTTAGTCATTGGCAATTTGAGGCATGTGGTGTCAGAATCAAATGTTGGTACACCTCTCAAGGACAAACAGCATCTTTGTTCGTTGCAATTGTGGTGGATACTTCGAGAAGATATAAGCGCGGTTGATGAGGAGGATATTATAAAGTCAATGGAAGTATTGCAACCCCATTCTAATCTAAAGCAGTTGCAAGTGTGGTATTATGGTGGTGTGAGGTTTGCGAGTTGGTTTTCTTCTCTCATAAATATTGTTAATCTCGAATTGTCGTTTTTTAAGAGATGCCAACGTCTTCCGCCCTTGGATCATTTGCCTTCCCTTAAGTCTCTTACAATGGTTGGGTTGCAAAAGTTGGAGTACATATCAGAGAATGAGAGCAGTAATAGTATGAGTGATGAGATGATGAGGATCTCATTCTTTCCCTCCCTGGAAAAGCTCTCCATACAAGATTGCCCTGTTCTGAAGGGATGGTGGAGGGCCCACACTCATAACAGTGACGATTCTTCTTCATCAACGGAAAATCTGTCGTTACCTTCTTTTCCTCGTCTTTCTACATTGTCTATTGATGAGTGTCCTAATCTAATGTCCATGCCTCTGTATCCAAATGTGGAGAAAATACATCTTGAGAAGAGCAGCTGGAAGGTTGTTGATTCCTTGTTTGTTAGAGGAGCATCTGATATTACACATGAAGTTGGTGTTGATGTTTCTGCCTCTTCTTCTTCCCCTCATCTGTCCAAATTAACACATCTGTCACTCCATGCAATTGAGGATTTGGCATCACTGCCAGAAGAAATAAGCAATCTCACGTCATTGCAACACCTTGAATTTAGTAATTGCTCTAATTTGGCATCACTACCAGAAGAAATAAGCAATCTCACATCACTTCAGGAGCTTGCAATTAGTAATTGCTCTAATTTGTCATCACTGCCAGAAGGGATTCGTGGACTCCCCTGTTTAAATAGATTGAAAATTTGGTGGTGCCCCATGTTAAGCGAAAGATGCAAGAAAGAAACAGGTGAGGACTGGTTTAAGATTGCTCACATCCAATCCATTGAAATTGATGAATCTTAAGTTGCGTTTTCTAACTTGTTTAAATTTACACTTAACCTAATTCAGTATAAGCTAAGAAATATTAAAATGCTGATCTCGTCTCTTATTTTTATTCTTCATTCATCATCACCAGCATTTTATTTTTCTTTCCAGATGGCATACCATGTGGATCAATGATTTTGGTATGCATTCATTACCCACTAAATTCATTTTTTTTTAATTTCTCTTTAATTTCCTTCTTTTCAATTATATAATCTTATATGCAGTGAATGGGGCGTCAACCTTTTGGATTCAATATGTAAGGGCCATGTTGATTGCTTGAAGTGGTTGTATATGATTTTAGTTTTGATCGTCGGGGTTTTAAGTACTATGTCCCCTCGTTGTATGTTTTTTCTTTAAATAATATAATATGGGCGTGAGGGCCTAGCCTCCTAGCTTCGACTGGGTTCCAGCCCTCATTAAATATTTCTTTTTAATATTTGTTGATGTATGGGAAGCAAAATCACCTTTGTCAAGTTATAACGTACAAGTTGCATAATTATACACAAATAATGATAATAAAAAAAAATTATGTCTATTAATTGTCAATGCACTAAAGTAACCAAATATTCTAAGATCGAAGAAAGTCCAAAATCAACTTTGGATATGGCTCGGGACACAAATATCTCAGTAAAGCAAATAAACTAATTATGTTTTGTTTAGTCAAAAGGAAATTCATGACAGCCATTACAAAAACAAAAATATTTGTTGTTTTTTCTATGTCCCGTATCTATAAACAACTCAGACAACTCCCAGTTAGTTTCTTTGTTTTCTTTTCCTCGATTTCCTTAGCAATCAAATGGTCTCCCTAAGTAAAAACAAATTCTTCAAACATACCGAATGTTTTCTAATATTTTTCTTCATTCCTTTTATTCATCTACCCATTATTCACCCACACCAGTTCATACTTATAACATGTGATAGGTTTATTTTTAAAAAGCTGAAGATGCTTGTATTGCCAAGAACCAAAAAGGGAAAAGTACGGACCTTGACATTCACATAGAAATCTTCCATGCGGTTCTTTGGCATCTACAAAAACAAACTTATTAACAGATCAGTCAAAGGAAATTATTACAACCTCTGCAAAAACAAAATATGGCATGGTTGCGCTCATAAAAGCATTTGAATTGATCACAATTCGTGACTAGTTAAACATGATATCTCCTTAGACATTTTGGAAACTTGACAGCTTATATTTTCTATAACACAGATGTGCTCATAAAGGCAAACACACTGCTACAATCTCCGACTTGGTAAGCTCCCATCTGAGATTGAGGGAGAATGATAACTATAATATATACTATGAAAGATAGTTAAGTTAGTTAAGATTCTATGGTGTAAGATTGTGACAAGTGTCAATATTCTAAGAGTCTAATGTTAGCTTAATAACTAAGCAATATAGCTAGATATATACACAATGTAATCAATGTTAGAAGTAATGAGAAAAAGATAGTACATACATTTTTCTTCCTCTCTGTTTACATGGAAACGTCCAGCTGTGGGTGTACAAATGATGCGGGTTACAATAGCGCGTGGGCCCAGGGAGTAGTTGGAGAGAGAACATGCGTTGGAAATCAAATTAAAGACACAACACAGACTTCAGTGGAGCACTAGCTAATACTTTACTAGCTACTAGGGCACAAAAGTAGAGGAAAAGAAAAGGACAGGAGCAAACGGCTATACTTTGTGAAGGACCCAGCTGGCATTAAAAATCAACTTTCAATTATTCAGGGTATCTGTAACATATTGACCATTATTAGGTCTTTGTTTTTAGTTTATACATTGAATGATGTGTGAGTGGCTGGATGAGTGATGGGCATATAAAGACCCGAAGGAGGAGCTATTTTTCACTATGCACTTAAATTACAACCTTCTATTTTAATTCACTTCACTTGGATTTTACTTGTCCTGAACACAAGACATGACAGAAGGAGTCGGAAAATTATATCCAACGCCCAATGAAATTTGGAATAGACTGATGAAAAATTATGAATTTTCTATAGAGCTACTGATATATAATATTTCATCGGTTGCTTTAACGCAGTTATAGGGGTAGGAAAATTTTTCAAAATGATAAATTTACAACCCTATTGGGGTCAAGGGATGCCAATGCCACCGCATTGGCACTGCTAGTGACTGTTAGACAAGAGTTTATCTCATTTTCGCTTTGTTTACTGAGTTTTCGGTTATGAATTTTCCGTCACTACTATAATATGTTAGATGGTGTGTAAAAAGAGTCAATTTGTTTCTTTGAAGTACTTCTTGTGTTTTTGTTTATGTGGATATTTTTCAATAAACGCGTGAAACTCAAGAATCGGAATGGTTCTAATTATTATTTATTATTCCATATAAATAAGCATGTAAAAATTGTATTTATCTACCTATATATATATATATATTATTTTGTTGATAATTTAAGATTAATTGTATTTATCTACCTGTACCATAGGATTTTTTTTTTTTATAATACTCTACCCATATTAGAGATTAATTGCACATGTATCATATGTTTTTTTGTTTGTAAATTAACTACATGCATCACAGATTGATTGCATTGCCTACCTGCATCACATATTAGTTGCATTATCTACCTACACCATAGTTTAATTAGATATTATTTAAATATATCTTCATGACATATTTTGTATTTATGTACCTATATGATAGGTTTTTTCTTTTTGTAATCTACTTTTATCAAGAATGTATATCACAGTAGATTTTGTTGTTGATAAACATGCCATGAATTTTAATTTTAATTTTTTTCCTTGGATATTGAATAGATTAAAGGCTTTAATATTCAAAATTTGGATAAATCAAGAAATTTAAATATATTTTCATTTAGATTATAAAAGGGCAAAATAGACATAAAAAAGATCAGTTGAACCTAAACTGATAAGGCACATGGAATTGGACTCAATTGGAAAGTAGCTCAATTTTTTGGATTCGGATCTAAATGCCCCATAATAATAATGGATTGAGGTTTGAAATTTCCTCATTCCAAATGGACCCCAATTTATGACTTTGTTTAGTCTATTAGCATTATATCATCAACATAAATTGACATTATGATATCTTATCATCCCTTTTACTTTTAGATCTCATTTGACAACTCAGACTGCATTAACTATTTCAATCAGATATGATAATTTGTATATCAAATAATACTGATTAAATTAGTCAAACGTTTAGTGTATAATCAAACTAAAAACCGATTATACAGTAATGTATTTTATTTTATGAAAGATAATGTCAAAAATTGTAAATAAAATGAAAAAAAAGAAAGGAAAAAAAATCGATAGAATAATTAATGTTCTACAAACAATTCATCGTCATTGATATTCTGCGCAGTGCGCACAACCCAAAAAAGTTATGGGTATGGACGTGCTGTGTGTAGACACGTCCAGCTGTGGGTTTATAAATGATAGCGGGTTACAATAGCGCGTGGGCCCAGGGAGTCGTGGGTGAGGGAACATGTGTTGGAAATCCAATTAAAAACACAGCACAAAGCTTTAGTATGACACTGGCTAATGCTTTACTAGCCACTAGGGAACAAAAGTAGAGTAAAACATAAGGAAAGCAACAAACGGCTATAATTTGTGAAGGACCCAGCTGGCATTAAAAATCAACTTTCAATTATTAAGGCCAGCTGTAACATATTGACCATGTTCTCACTACGCATAACCGTATTGACCATTATTAGGTCTTTGTTTTTATTTTATCCATTGAATGATGTGTGAGTGGCTGGATGAGAGATGGGCATATCAAGACTATATTCTTAGTTACAATCTTCTACTTTAATTCACTTCACCTGGGTTTTTGCTTGTCCTGAATACAAGAAATGGCAGAAGGAGTTGTCTTCAATATTGCAGAACGGATCATTGTAAGGCTTGGCAACCGTGCTTTCCAACGGATTGGATCGATTTGGGGTGTCCCAGATGAGCTCAACAAGCTCAGGGAGACAGTTGCCGGATTCCAAGCTGTTCTTCTTGACGCTGAGCAAAAGCAAGCCAACAACAATGAAGTCAAACTGTGGCTCCAAAGCGTAGAAGATGCAGTTTATGAAGCCGATGACGTGCTGGATGAGTTTAATACTGAAGTTCAGCGGAGACAAGTGTTGCGTGGCAATACTAAGCTGTCAAATAAGGTATGCCTCTTTTTCTTTAGATCAAATCAACTTGCTTAGCAAAAGATGAGTCATTAGATCAAAGATATTACCGAGAGGATTCGAGAGGTTCCATCTCGGAGAACATTTTTATAGTCACGTAAGCCCATTGATATTCACCTATTAGGAGTACAATAGGTCTCTCAATAATTCATAATTAGCTGCAATAAATCTTCTCCATTATTGTTTTGAATGTTTCGTATAACTTACCGTTACAAAACTCTATTAACTTATTAATACAGTTCTATCGAAATAATGATTGTGTCTACTCAAACTCTTACAGGTGCATCTTTTCTTTTCTAGCTCAAATCAACTTGTTTTTGGGTTAGAGATGAGTCGTAAGATAAAAGATATTAACAAGAGGCTTAGTGAGGTTGCATCCCGTAGACCCAGTGACTTAAACAATAATCGTGAAGATAAAAGATTTATATTGAGAGAGAGGGCCACTTACTCATTTGTCCGGGAAAATATTATAGGGAGAGATGAAGATAAAATGGCAATTATCCAACTTTTGTTGGATCCCATCCCAACTGAGAATGTGTCAACCATTTCCATAGTTGGATTTGGAGGATTGGGGAAAACTGCACTTGCCCAACTCATATTCAACGATGAGGTGATTCAAAATCATTTTGGGTTGAAAATATGGATATGTGTCTCTAATGTATTTGAGTTGGATATACTGGCTAAGAAAATCCTAAAAGTTGACAAGCTTGGTAAAGAGGAGCGTGATAAGGTGGACCAGCTTAATATGGATCAGCTGCAAAATGATCTCAGGAAAAAAGTAGATGGGAGGAAGTACCTACTTGTGTTGGATGACGTTTGGAATGAGGATCGAAAGAAGTGGCTTAGCTTGAAGAACTTGTTAAGGGGTGGTAAAGAAGGTAGTAGAATATTAATAACCACTCGTACTGAAACCGTTGCGATGGCATCACACACAACTAAACCGTACACCTTAAGGGGTTTGAATGAAGTGCAAAGTTGGTCTTTATTTAAGAAAATGACTTTTAAAGATGGAAAAGAACCAGAGAATTCAACAATTAAGGCAGTTGGGATGGAGGTTGCAAGAAAATGTCAGGGAGTTCCACTCGCTATAAGGACGATAGGTCGGATGTTGCGCACCAAAGATGACGAAACAGATTGGTTGAATTTCAAAGAAAGGAAACTTTCAAAAATAAGTCAAAGAGAAGATGGCATTTTACCAACACTTAAACTAAGTTATGATGTGCTCCCATCACATTTGAAGCGTTGTTTTGCTTATTGTAGCTTGTTCCCACCTGATTATGAGATCTCTGTACCAAGATTGATTAGACTTTGGGTGGCACAAGGGTTCATTGAGTCATTCGACGAAAACGAGTGTTTGGAGGATGTTGCGTTTGAATGTTACAGGGAATTGTTGTGCAGATCGTTTTTGCAAGAAGAAAAAACAGATGAGTTTGGTACAATAAGAAGTTGTAAAATGCACGATCTCATGAATGAACTCGCAATCTTAGTGTCGGGGGTTGGAAGTGCTATAGTTGATTTGAACCGAAATAATTTTCATGAAAAGCTTCGTCATGTATCTTTCAATTTTGATATTGATTTGTCGAAATGGGAAGTGCCAACATCCTTGCTAAAAGCAAGCAAGATACGAACCTTTCTTTTTCTTCGGCAACAAGCTTGGGGTGATCACCAAAGTTCCTCACGTAATGCATTTTATACTACAATTGTTTCAAATTTTAAGTCATTAAGGATGTTGAGTCTCAATAAATTAGACATTACAACATCACCTAATTGTCTTGGAAAAATGAAACATTTGAGATATCTTGATCTTAGTGAGAATTCCATGGAGAGACTTCCAGATTGGATAGTTGGACTTTCGAATTTGGAAACACTAGATCTTAGTGAGAATTCCATGGAGAGACTTCCAGATTGGATAGTTGGACTTTCGAATTTGGAAACACTAGATCTGACAGACTGTCGGAAGCTTGTGGAATTGCCTAGGGACATTAAAAAAATGATCAACTTAAGGCATCTCATCTTGGAAGGGTGTTGGGAATTGAGTGGAATGCCACGTGGAATTGGTGAATTGAATGGTGTTCGTACATTGAATAGATTTGTTTTGAGCGAAAGCAATTGTTTGGGGAGGGGCGGTAGTGCTGGTCTTGCTGAGCTGGGGACCCTTAACGAATTAAGGGGACATTTAGAAATTGATGAGTTGAGGCATGTGGTGTCAGAATCAAATGTTGGTACACCTCTCAAGGACAAACAGCATCTTTGTTCGTTGGATTTAACCTGGAAAGAGGGAGAAGATATAAGCGCGGTTGATGAGGAGGATATTATAAAGTCAATGGAAGTATTGCAACCCCATTCTAATCTAAAGCAGTTGTCGGTGTATGAGTATAGAGGTGTGAGGTTTGCGAGTTGGTTTTCTTCTCTCATAAATATTGTTAATCTCGAATTGCGGTTTTGTAAGAGATGCCAACGTCTTCCGCCCTTGGATCATTTGCCTTCCCTTAAGTCTCTTACAATGGTTGGGTTGCAGAAGTTGGAGTACATATCAGAGAATGAGAGCAGTAGTAGTATGAGTGATGAGATGATGAGGATCTCATTCTTTCCCTCCCTGGAAGAGCTCTCCATATCTAAATGCCCTGTTCTGAAGGGATGGTGGAGGGCGCACACTCATAACAGTGATGATTCTTCTTCATCAACGGAAAATTTGTCGTTGCCTTCTTTTGCCTGTCTTTCTCAATTGTTTATCAGTGATTGTCGTAATCTAACTTCACTGCCAGAAGGGATTTGTGGACTCCCCTGTTTAAATACATTGCACATTTCTAGGTGCCCCTTGTTAAGCGAAAGATGCAAGAAAGAAACAGGTGAGGACTGGCATAAGATTGCTCACATCCCACACATTGACATTGATTAAGGTGCGTTTTCTATTCAATATAAACTATGAAATATTCAAATGCCAATCTCATTTCTTAATTTTATTCTTCATTTATCATCAGCAGCATTTTATTTTTCTTTCCAGATGGCATACCATGTGGATCAATAATTTCGGTATGAATTCTTTTCAATTATATAATCTTATATGGAGTGAATGGGGCGTCAACCTTTTGGATTCAATACGTGAGGACCATGTTGATTGCTTGAAATGGTTGTATGTGATTTTGCTTTTGATCGTCGGGGTTTAAGTACTATGTCCCTCCGTTGTATGTTTTTTCTTTAAATAATATAATATGGGCGTGAGGGCCTAGCCCCCCAGCTTTGACTGGGTTCCAGCCCTCTTTAAATATTTCTTTTTAATATTTGTTGATGTATTGGAAGAGAAATCACATTTGTCACGTTATAACTTATAAGTCACATAATTATACACAAACAATGATAAAAAAAAAAAAAAAAAAATACGTCCATTAATTGTCAATGCACTGGAGTAACCAAATATTCTAAGATCGAATAAACTCCAAAATCACCTCTGGAAGACACAAATATCTGCTCCAAAACCCGAAACTAATCACAAAAAAGGCTACATTCTCGGTAAAGCAAATAAACTGATTATGTTTTGTTTGCTCAAAAAGAAATTCCTGACAACCATTACAAAAACAAAAATATTTGTTGTTTTTTCTATGTCCTGTCTCTATAAACAACTCAGACAACTCCTGGTTAGTTTCTTTGTTTTCTTTTCAATCAAATGGTCTCCCTAAGTAAAAACAAATTCTTCAAACAAAATATGGCATGGTTGCGCTCATACAAGCATTTGGATTGATCACTATTCGTGACTCGTTAAACATGATATCTCCTTAGACATTTTGGGAACTTGACAGCTTAAATTTTCTTTAGTCACAGATGTGCTCATAAAGGCAAATTACAGCAACCTAATGTCTACTAAAAACTTGGAGAAGGGACTCAATTACTCAACAAACAAGTGCCTCACACGTTCATGTTAAAGACCAAAGAGAGAACACCAAGTCGAACTCTTCGAAATTCGTTGGCACACGTGTCATTGGCTCAATTGAATGTACAGTGCATATTTAGATGATTAGAACAATTGTTATAGATTGACATAAGCCTCCAAACTTGAAAAAAAAATTGAAACCTTAAGAAAGCAGAACCTGTTTTCATTCATATTTGTGCTGTTTCGATTAGCTTATCTCGCTGACTTGATTCATTAGTTCTAAAGGAAGTTCTAATCACTACGAAAACAGCTTAATAACAGTTGATTATCTCTAAAACAAAGAGGGAAAACATAGAAATACTATCTGTAATTAATAATAAGAAAAATACCATGAATTTGTTTTTGGGAAGCTGCTTTTAGGTTAGTACCCTCGTCTGGCGAAAACTTATCCTACAATGCAGCAAGAAATAGAGTAAAAGGAATAATAGTTGGTTTCCATTTAGAACCTCAAAACCCCACTTTAGTCTTTCTCTTACCGGAGAAAACAGCATCTCCGGTGAAAGTGAATTCGAACTTGGCATCCATTCCTCCATCATACTTAGAAGCAACCACATCCTGAAAGTAAGTCCCCTGACGAACTTCCCATCCATCCACTGACTCCGGAGTCTTGTACTTTACAATTGTAAGTTTGCTCTTGCTACTCTTCCCTGCTCGTAATTGAGCCATTTTCTTCTTATAGTCCTACAATGCAAACAGTCAAAAGCTTCACATAAGCAATAAAATTCAAATCCAACATTGAACCAACCCATGAACTTAAAAGACATCAAAACCGAAACAGATTACTACACGTCAAAAAGGAGTATTTCAAGTATATGGCAATAAGGATCACACCTTAAATGCTTTGGTAAGATTTTAGACCCCTCTTTAATCAACCCTGTACAGGTCTCCGCTAATAGTAGAGTGCAGTAGCACAAAAGATAATCTTGTTACAGCCCTGTACTGCGGCGGACAGGGTAGTAGGATCACCCACATCTCCAGTCAATGGCAAGACAGATATGAAAAAAGAGAGGAAATGATAACACCCACCATTTAAAGGAGTAAAAGCACAAAAAATATCTTGCAAACCCTTGATTTATCGGTAAAGCACATCATAACCAAACAATCAAGAAAATAATTTAAAACCAATTCTATATTTCTAATCAGAAGATGTGCAATTTTTTTTTTTATTCGTCTTCAATTTGTAGCACTTCATTCTCAATAATGAACAATTCACAAAATTCCAGATTTGCTACATTCGTTATCCAAATTGAAACAACAATCCCACTAAAATTGACTACTCATAAGAATCTCATTCCACAAAGCTTCTTCAGTCCAGGCCTAAACAACTGCAAGCAAAAAAAATCCCCAAGATACATACTTTCATCCAAATCATCCACCGCCATTAACAAAACCACAACCTATATCTTCCTTCTGCTAAGATTAAAGCAAAAATTTGAAACCCTAATCACTCCCAAACATGCTTTTGGAATATCAATAGAAAGGAAACTTGAAATTAGAGGATCATACAGAATTGGGATGGGGATTGGACTCGTGCTCGGAATCGACCTCTTCCTCTTGCTTTTCAGATTGATCACCAAATAGGTTCTGCATCACCCGGTGCCACTTCTCTGGATTCTCTGGCAGTCCACCGACCATCTTCTGCTGAATCCACCATATCGGTCGGTGTCACAGCGATGCTTTTACTTTATTCTTAAAATTCTGACTCATACTCATATGCACCGTATCCAGCTTAACCACTTCATTATCCTCCTCATCCTCTGTTACTAAATAAGTAGGGGCAGCTGCCTTTGTTTATGCCTCTGTTACTAAATAAGTAGGGGCAGCTGCCTTTGTTACTAAATAAGTAGGGGCAGCTTAACCACTTCATTATCCTCCTCATCCTCGCAAAGCCACACTTGAAATGTCTGAAGTTGAGGCTTGAGCTTAAGTTGTTCCGTGAGTGCATTAGCTTCTTTCCACTCATCTCAGCTTTCAATGTGGCACCTTCAACAGCGCAGATAGCATCATCCACCTACAAATATTGCAAAAGAAAAATGTTTTAGCTCCTAAATCCAAACTGCAAAAGAAAAAACACAGAAAATTAAGTAAACAGAATGCAACTGAACTTGCACAGCTTGCTTCTCAAATTCATGAAATGTTGCTAGAATGTCGTAGCTGCATGGCAAATTCATTTTGTGTTCAAATTCCAAGTAATTAATAATACGAAGGATACCATGAATTTTATTACCCAAATCTTGTAATTAATAATAAGAAAAATACCATGAATTTCATTTTGGAAAGCTGCTTTTAGCTTAGTAGCTCCATTTGAGAATGCAAATATGGCATACCGGTCAAGGGTTCGACCCAAAGGAAGTGAAAGCTTTTTTGACAGTTCAACACCCTCCTCTGGTGAAAACATATTCCCAGTCAATGGCAAGACAGATATGAAAAAGAGAGAAAATGAGAACAACCACCGTTTAAAGGAGTAAAAGCAGAGTTAAAACAGAGAAAACAACAAAAAATATAGGTAAAGCACATCAGAATCAAACAGTCAAGAAAATAACCAATTCTATATTTCCAATCAGAGTTCTTCCAACTACAGAGTTTGCCTATAAAAACGATGTGAATCGGCCTATGTTAAGTAAGGGGGAAGTAACCATTCGAAGTGGTCCATGGTAAGAGGACTAACAATAAGGGGGGAGCGCAGCGATCAAAGCTTAGGTTTAGGGCCCACTAGGTTTAAACGAAAGAAGAGATCTTTCTAGCGATTCAGTTCCTAGAGGGTTCCAAACCTAGCCTTCTCGAGATCGGCTTTATTATTCGGTTAGGAGTTCGGTAGCTCGTCGGAGGAATGCCACTACGAAGCTTCTTCTCCCTCTTCTTGCAGTCGAATGGGCAAACTTCGTAGCCGTAACCGGAATACTACCTCCCGGGCAAGTGGATCAAAAGAGAAAAGAGGAATACGACTTGCTGGAATGCACCCACCAGTTTTCCAATGGTGGAAAGTTCTCTCGCTGCTCCCGCAGGCCTGGCACATCAGAACCAAACAGTCAAGAAAATAACCAATTCTATATTTCTAATCAGAAGATGTGCAATTTTTTTTATTCGCCTTCAATTTGTGGCACTTCATTCTTAATAAAGAACAGTTCACAAAATTCCAAATCTGCTACAACATCAAAGGACGGACCGAATAGGAAACGACATCATTCATTATCCAGATTGAAACAACAATCCCACTAAAATTGACTACTCATAAGTATCTCACAAGGCCTAAACAACTGCAAGCAAAAAACTCCCAAGATACATACTTTCATCCAAATCATCCACCGCAATGACAATACCACAACCTATATGTTGCTTTGGCTAAGATTAAAGCAAAAATTGAAACCCTAATCATTCACAAACATGCTTTTGGAATCAGAATAGAAAGGAAACTTGAAATTAGAGGATCATACAGAATTGGGCTGTGGATTGGGCTCGTGCTCGGAATTGCCCTCTTCCTCTTCCTCTTCAGATTGATCACCGAATAGGTTCTGCATCAAAACCCACTATCAAAAATCATACAAAAATCAATGCATTCACCGAAAAATCTCTAGAACCCACAAACCCCACCCCCCCCCCCCCCCCCCAAAAAAAAAAAAAAAAAAAATCATACAAAAAACTCACCGTGATCAGATATAATAATTAAGATTAAGGGGTTTATATGAGCAAGAACACAAACAAACTTGGAGATGTCATACAATCCAAACCCACTTCCAATATTAGCCATAACGAAATGAGGCCGTATCAGCCCAGCCAGAACCTTCTCGATAACCTCCTTCACTGCAACGTATCAATTCCAACACAAAAATTGAGAAAATGTGCGAGTAAATTTGAGCTTGTGATTTTCTCCGAAACCAAACAGGGGCCTAGACAGATGCTGCGCGGGAAGACTTTCTAAAGGCGATCAAATTTGCACCTCAAGACAGTGCTATTGCAAGAGAGTTACGTCTTAAGGCTTTTTTTTTTTTTTTTTGGTCGAAACATCTTAAGCTCTTGAATTTTACGATAAATGAGGAAATTTATGTTTTGAACTTGCTAACAAACAACACTATGAATGTTCTTCAAAAAAAAAAAAAAAAAAAAAACACAAGACAATGAATTGTGAGCTTAATGCTATCTCCAATTAAAAAGGTTACGTATAGTTCCGTCTAGAATTATAAAGAAATTATTTTTTTAATGATCAGAATTATATCATATTCATATATCATCTTCAATTGAAATGATTAAATATAGCTCATTACTAATTTATTGGTTTTAATTTTACTCCTTAAATTTATTTACTATGTGAAAATAAAGTTATCAAGACATAATTTTTTAGATGGATAGAATGTGAGAAATTGAATTGAAATGAGTCAAGATAGTAAAAATTAATGTTTTTAAAAATGGGTCCTGATTTACAATCTGCAAACATAATGTATTTCTAAGGGTTCCGAATCTTTTTCAATTAAAATACCCACAATATGCATGTTTTCCAAATCATGTATTCAGATTAAGTAAAATATGGCCAAATCAGGCCATGTTTTTGTCTAAACAGAAAAGCATGATTTTCCTCGTGGGTTTTTGAGGTGCATGCGTCCACTTAGCTGTCAAGAAACCCAGAGAGGCGTTGATGCTGGGTTCCAAAATTGGGCTGCTCGACAGGCCCAACATACCTAGCCCGATAGTCTTTTGGCTATCATTAGGTTTGGTGGGTCCCATTTTTTTTGGCCCAACTCTCCATTGGAGTTGAGTTTTGTGGCATTTCAGGCTAAAACCTTGACCTCTAACCTTATAACAATTTCCATTAGAGATGGCCTAAAGGTTCACTCATTTAAGTCTCGAGAGTGATGTGAGACTATGATTTTTTTGGTCTATGACACGTGGGAAGGATAATCGGAATGTCCATAGTCCATGGAGCGTAGGCCGGTAGGATAGGCTTAGGCCTAACAAAGATATTACTTGTCTCCAAAAAGGAAATCCTAGTTAAGGTCAAATTAGGATATCTAAAGGATTAGGGCATCATGTGCCCTTGGAAATGATTGTGTTTAATTCCTCTGGGAGTAGAAGAAACATATTTGCCCCAAGATGTGTTTGACAAAATGCAGCAGAGAGAAATTGGCCAGAAATATAGGCCTAACCATTTACTTGATCCGCACCATTGAATGGAGATTCCTAAATCGGTTCCTGACTTTCTGCTTGTTGAAAATTGAGGAATGTTGCACCAGGGATGTGTTTACTTACGCATTCGAGTTTGTTTGTATTGTGGACAAGAAGGTTTACTCTGCCTTATATCACTTCATTTTCCTGATTGGGGGTTCCTCAATAATTCTTTCCTGACTCAAAATGTTCAGACCTTCTTGTTGACTGGCACTTTTGGATGAGCAAGTTTGTGTTATGTGGATACTTTTGTAAAGATGATTGATAAAGCACCGAAGTGGGAAATCACTCAAGTGGCACCTGGAATACTTCCAGCAGTTGGATTGGCTACAATTGCATTTTTCTTTGGGTAATACTTTTGTTGTTCAGCAGGTTTTGAGCTCAAAACAGATATTTCTTGCAACAGTGGAGCCAATGGAGCTTGCTCACCATGAACAACAAAATGGACTTTTACTTTCTTCCAAGGATTTACAGGACAGTGGCATCCGTAAGTCTTTCGGATTCATTCAGTCCACCAATACCCAACTGATTCTAGCAGTTTTTAGTGCTCCGCAATTTTTTGGATATGTACAACACACAACAATTTCTGTTCATATATCGCTTTTTGACATACTGCATGGGGAAATCTGTTAGCACATGAGATTTTGAACGCGTTAGGTTTAAGTTGGACAATAAGGATTGGGTGTAGGAGTTTTGAGACCCTATTGTCCCACATTGGAAAACAATATTTTTTTTCACTAGCCTTTATATAGGCTTATTCCTTCTCCTTAGTAATTAGAACTTGGACCATTTGGAAATGAATTGAAGGCATGAACCTTATGGTTGTGTGAATTAGGCTTGAATATAATATAGCCTAAATACAATTAATATTAATTAATCAAGACAAGGGCCTTGGACCTTGGGGCCTTGGAATTTAAAATTAATCAGATTCATTAATTTTAATCTTCGGATTAAGTTTTTAATTAATTTATTAATTAAAAACGTTTTAATTAGTTTTTAATTAATTTAGGGTTTCCAAGGATTAATTGATACTATGACATTTAATTAAAAACGTTTTACTTTATCTAGACATATAATTTAGGGTTTCCAATGATATTATAAAGTCAATGGAAGTATAGCAACCCTATTCAAATCTAAAGCAGTTGACAGTGTGTTTCTATAGTGGTGTGAGATTTGTGAGTTGGTTTTCTTCTCTCATAAATATTGTTAATCTCACAATGTGGGATTGTAAGAGATGCCAACATCTTCCACCCTTGGATCATTTGCCTTCCCTTAAGTCTCTTAAGCTTTGGAAATTGGAGAAGTTGGAGTACATATCAGAGAATGAGAGCAGTAATAGTATGAGTGATGAGATGATGAGGATCTCATTCTTCCCCTCCCTGGAGGACCTCTATGTAGCAGATTGCCCTGTTCTGAAGGGATGGTGGAGGGCGCACACTCATACCACTGCTTCTTCTTCTTCTTCTTCTTCTTCGACAACGGAAAATATGCCGTTGCCTTCTTTTCCCCGTCTTTCTATCTTGACTATCCTAGAGTGTCCTAGTCTAACTTCACTGCCAGAAGGGACTCGTGGACTCCCCTGTTTAAATAGATTGGAAATATATAGGTTCCCCATGTTAAGCGAAAGGTGCAAGAAAGAAACAGCTGAGGATTGGCCTAAGATTGCTCACATCCCATACATTGCCAACAAAAGGAACAAGAAAAATAATATTTCTTCTTAGTTCAAATTGAAATTTTATAACCGAAAATCACGCCTAAAGTTAATTTTTTCTTTATTCATTATATTTCGTTCGGAAGATCTAGATAGAAAGGAGAGAGAGATGATGATGATGATAAACCTATCTTTTGGTGTGTGAGTTTAATTTTAAGGATTTTCTGATTTAGACTCACTCAAACTCACAACAAAGAACTAGAAATATGATGATACATTTAACAAAGGTAGATAGTGTTTCTACAGAACAGATGTTGCTTCTGTGGATGAAAATTCTTATTTATGACCAATGAAGCTTTCATCGATAATAAAAAATAATAATAAAGATGGATAGTGAACTTATAATACACATGTATTCTCATATAATTTGATGTCCAAATATATTTGAGCGACATTGTAATTTAATATAAATAACAAAGAAGAGAATTCGAACTAACTTGTAGAGAGGGACCTATTCTAGCCAACTTGGCTCGCTAAAGTCTAACTTGATGTGCCAATATAAAATTTAAACATTACCAAAACTAGTCTTTTTATTTTGGATTTAGGTATGAAGCAATGACAGAATAAAGGCTTGCCATCATTGAGTGAAGCATAACAGAGACAAGGAGAGGTATTCACTTGCATACAGAAAAAAGCTTGCACACCTCGTTTTGCAAGGTGTGGCTGATCACCAGGTTCCAGCAACAAGAACATAGTAATTTTTTAAGGATACATTGTTCGTCTACAAAAATTCAAAGATTATTACTCATCATTGCATACAGAAAAAAGGATATTTATTCCATGAAATTGAAAGATTCTGTTATCCTCAAAAGGGTGAGACTTCTTGTTCATAGAAGTAATGGCCAGAAGGGCTGCCATTTGTTACCATTGCTAGCCTCACAACACTTTCAGCACCTTCATCTATTGTTAATATTCCGGTATTGAAGTTCAAATCTGTTTTGACAAATCCAGGGCTTACAGAGTTGATGCAGATATTCGGGTACTGCTTGGCCATGATCCGCGTGAAAGCGTTTATGGCTGCTTTTGAGAGTATATAGGCAGAGAGGGAAGCAGGCCATCCTCTGGTTTCTAGCATATCTTCTTTGAAGTCTTTTAGAAACTCGCTCAAAACCTCATCGATTCTGTCTTCTGTGAGTTTTTCGGCATCACTTAACAACCCTTTAGCCCATCCATTTGGGATATGCTGAAACAAAACATGTATGCCAACAGAATTTCAGTTTTCCCAATTATGGAAGACATTTGATCTTGAAACAGAAATACGATGAGATGCCAAAAGTATGAAAAATCTTCGCACCTTTAACAATCCCATGCCAGAAGAAAGACTGACAACTGTCGGTGAATCAGATAGCTGGAGGAGGGGAAGCAGTGCTTTGGTCATTTTCTTGGAACCATAGTAGTTTGTTCTCACGCATACTTCAGCTAACTCATACGTTTGAGTCATTATTTCACTCCAATTGACTCCTACACCATCCTGCATCAAGGAAAAGAAAGATTTCATTTTGCCATTGTGCATTTTTGAATGAAAGATTTATGGCACTTAGCCATACCTATAAGGAAAGTTCTCTTCACGCACCCATTTTTAACTCTCACACACCCTTGTTAATTTTTGGTCATTGATCTTTTTCAGTTCATTCGATCCAACGACAAAATTGAAAGGAGTGTGTGAGAAGTAAAAATGGGTGTGTGGATAGCACTACTCAACCTACAAATTTGACAATGTAAGGACCCATCTTTTAACCATTTCAGTTTTCAGTTTTCAGAAAATAAAAATGTAAAACCAAAAACTGAAAACTGAAAGCCAAATTTTGAAAACTCAAGATAAGTTGGATTTTAAATAGTGAATAAAGAGACTTACCCTACCAACACCAGAAGCTACAGCAGCTCTGAAAGCTTCAGGGTCTACAATGGTTCCTCTAACCCCTGCATTGTTTACCTGTGGAAGTTCCGAAACATTTCATCTTTGTTCAATCCCAACAAAATATTAAGACCCTTCATCGTACTTACGGATTTTCTGTCTTATTTTAAGCTGAATTACGAAGCGACTCAGTTAAAATTTACAACACAGTGGATAAGTGAAAATTTTCAATAGGGTACACATAATATGCTTGAAATATTAGTATCATATAGAGTTGGCGAATAAGGTCCGTTCATTAAAAATTTTAAAATTCACAA